TAAATTACTGATTTTTGCATAATTCGTTTTCCAATAGTTCTATTTTCATAAAATTTTTAAAATTTTTTAAATCTTTATTTCTTTCGCTCTTTTTGCTTCTGTTAGGTCCGTCCCGTGTAGAAATAGCCATCTGCACTAAAATTTTATAAGTAAAACACACGGAATTGGAAAAAATCACTATTTACCTAAACCGAGGTATAGTGGTCAACCGTTACCTTTATATAAAATCAACTACATCTTTGCTTCTAACTTTGCTAAAAATAGGTCTTTTTCGTTCAAATCTTTTTCTAAATAATAGAACTAATTACTCCTCGTATTCCCCTGTAGTTTTTATAGTAAATTTTCACCGCAATATAATTAATTTTCACATTTTCCATCCATTTTTATACGTAAATTCACTAATAAAAACATAAATTCATCTATAATTCGGCTGAAAATTGCCCTTTTCCGATTAAATTTTCTATTTAGATAGTATAACTAACTGACCCCCGTATTTTTATATAGTTTTCCTTGGTAAATTCTCGAACGTTACATATACAAATTTTCATATTTTCAGTCCCTTATTTACGTAATTTCATTAATAAAAACATCAATTCATCTATAACTCGGCTGAAAATTGGCCTTTTCCGTTCGAATTTTCTTCTAAAATAGTGTAATTAACTGTCCCGCGTATTCACATATAGTTTTCTTAGTAAATTTTCGCCGATAAATTACTGATTTTTGCATAATTCGTTTTCCAATAGTTCTATTTTCATAAAATTTTTAAAATTTTTTAAATCTTTATTTCTTTCGCTCTTTTTGCTTCTGTTAGGTCCGTCCCGTGTAGAAATAGCCATCTGCACTAAAATTTTATAAGTAAAACACACGGAATTGGAAAAAATCGCCCTCCCACCCTCCCTATTGCGCTTACTTAAGTAGACTTGTAGGGAATTTGTATCGATTTTAATTTGTATCGATTTTTTATTTTAACTTTATCGATTTTTTTTAATTTATTAAACCTGCAAATAAAAACACCTAGTTTAGGCAAAAGTCGCCCTCCCACCCTTCCGGTTTTCATTAATTAATTAGATTCGTGTCACACAAATGTCAGTTCTCAACAATTCGTGTACTGAAGCCATACCCAGTCAAAATTTAAGTCAAGAAATTGTTAGGACTGAAGTTCCTGCAAATATAACTGACGAAGAATTTGAAGAAGCTCGATCTGAATCCAGCCCTAACTTTAACGACGAGTACCTTTTAAAAATTAACGAACACACTGATTTAATACAAAAAACCCTAGATGGTAGTAGAAGTGTCACTCGCATAAACAAGGAAAGTATTAAAAAGTCTCTGGAAGAAATTAAGCGCAGCACGCAGCAGTTACACGACCAAGTTAAAAATATTTTACGACAGTCAACACTATCTACCGAAAATAAAACTACTTCTATAATCAGAAATACGATTAAAGAAGAATTTGAAAAGATTGCGTTAAAGTCTCAGCAGTTCTCCGCTCCGCCGCTGCTAAAACCACTTCATTCAGATATTACCCCGAAGCCAATTCCAAGTTACGCCACAGTTGTTAAGACTACAAAAGTTATTGAGAAACCCCCAATTCCGATTACCAAACCATCTTTAATAATTACTTCCAAAAAAACCAGTATCCTCGTCACAAGAGACCATCCACGCGTGGAGGAAAAAGTGTTCACTTCAAAGAGCTTACCTTCACTCCTGCTGAGGTGAAACCTGTCTCTAATCATAAACTTCGCGTTGAGTTTGACAAACAAGACAAAGGGACAAGATTTTAGAAACAATAAATCGGCCAGACAGCCTGGTCAGCGCAGAAATAGCGAAAAAACTCAAGCCTATGGTCATACTTAAGGGAATTTACAAAGACACACCCGTAACTGAGCTTGTTGATATCATCACCAATCAAAACACTAAAATAAAAGACCTTATTATATCACCTGAAGACATCATATTTAAATTTGTGCGCAATAACAAAACCAGAAACTCTATAACGCTGTATTTATGGTTGCTCCTCATATTTGAGAGTAATCATAGAAATACAAAAAGTTAATATAGACCATCAACGAGTGCACGTAGAAGACTTTCCGGCATTCCTTCAGTGTTATAAGTGCATGCAATTTGGACACACCAAAAAGCACTGCACTGAAGGCAATACAATCTGTTCCCACTGCTCCTCAAATACACACACATACAAAGACTGTCCAGTAAAAAAAGATATAAACAAAATAAACTGCCACAACTGTACAATACACGCTAAAAAATACAACTTAAATTTAAACACTAAGCACAGCACCACGTCCCTATTCTGCCCTCGTGTTCTCAAACAAATTGAAACCTGCAAAAATAAAACCGATTATGGATACTAAAAGAAAAAATAGGAAAAACTGCAACAAATAGTTACAATCCGCTTAAATGTTTACAAATAAATCTAGATAGAGGATACGCAGCGACTAACGAATTGTTTAAGTATGTGACGGATAATCAGATTGACATAGTGTTTGTTAACGAGCCTTATGTTGGAAGTGGCACCTATATGAGACGTTGCCCCGGCTACCATATTCATCAGTTTTCAACTAAACATCATGTCAAAGCATGCATACTCATCAAACAAAATATCGGGAGTTCGTTGGGCATCTCAGAAGACTCCACTTCCAACATTTGTATAGTACAAATAACTACAAACGGCAAAAAAATATTTCTTATCAGTGTATACGTTGAACCAAATACTGATGAAAGTAACACAATTAATACATTAGAGCTCTTTCTACAAAAGACAAAAAATTACAGCCATATCATTTGTGGTGACTTCAATGGCTGGCACCCTTTATGGAACTCATCCAGGGCAAATCGGCGAGGAAATATTATAGCAGACTTATTAACCACTAACGATCTTAACCTTTGTAATTCTGGAAATGTACCAACATTTGAGACTGTTACTCACAACATCCATCGAGAATCCATAATTGACCTTACTTTAACCTCCAATCTGTCATCAAATCGAATCAGTAACTGGAAAGTTGATATAGAAGTCTGCCCATCCTCCGGTCATAACGCAATAACTTTTGAATTATTGATAAATAAAAACAGTATACCCAAGCCAAAGAAACTATCCACGTTCAAATATCATACCCAAAATGTAAAGTGGGAACAAGTCCACACAACTTTCAAAGAAGAAGTTGAAAAAAATATAGATTTAAATGTAAACATAGAACAATTCAATAGTTTTGAACTAGAACAATTCATAGGCAATTTAACATCAGCTATACAAAAATCTTGTGATTATCTGTTTCCACAAAAAGGAGGAGCACGCAATAGAGCAATATGGTGGAATGACGAGCTAGAGCAGCTGAAACAAAAAGTTATCAAGAATCATCATAGGATCCAGCAATTGAAACGACGGAAAAAATCATTAACCGAAGTGATAGAAGAAAAGACAAAACTAAAGACAGAATATGCGCAGGCAATCAAAACTGTATCAACCAACCATTTCAGAGAGTTTTGCAATAAACAGGGGAAGGAAGATGTTTGGAGTGTCACTAATAGGCTTCTTAAAACTACACCTCTAACTCAACCACCAACGACACTAAAAACGAAAGCAGGCAACTACACCTCAACCACCAAGGATACCGCAGAAACATTGTTAAACGAGTATTTTCCTGAAGACGAACCTGACATAAGCTCTAGACACATGGAAATACGCAGTCTCTCTAAAATAGTACCAGACACACCGTCAGACCCTCCATTTACTACTGAAGAAGTTTTAAACGCTCTCAAAACGATGAACTCTAAAAAATCACCAGGACTAGATCACTTAACTGCAGACATATGCTTTAATTTTACTAAATTGTATCCCTCAGTAATTACCGCTATAATGAATAGATGCTTTGAACTCAGTTATTTCCCAAAAATCTGGAAAACTGCATACATAAAAATAATTCCAAAATCTCATAAAACTGAATTTAACACTTCCTCTTATAGACCTATAGGACTTATTAATGTTTTTGGGAAAACTTTAGAAAACTCATTACTAAGAGACTAACCTATCATTTACATAAAACTAATGCAATGAGCGAGGTACAATATGGCTTTAGAGAGCAAACTTCGACCACGTGTGCAATTCAAAAAGTCCTAGACGTAATTAGAAATGCCAAAAGCAACAATATGCAAGTCCTAGCAGTATCGTTAGATATACAAGCTGCGTTTGATAGCGCATTGTGGCCGGCTCTTTACCAAAGATTAAAATCGATTCAATGTCCTAGGAATATATTTATGTTACTCCAACATTATACAAGAGATCGCGAAGTAAAACTTGACTTCGCCGATAGTTCGGCTACCAAACCAATGCACCGAGGGTGTATTCAGGGATCAGTGTGTGGTCCCATGTTCTGGAATTTAATCCTCGACGAGCTTTTAACGTCAACTCTACCTGATGGATGCCACTTGCAAGCATTCGCGGATGACCTTTTTCTAATCACATACGCTAAAAATCTCGCTACTCTAGAAACTACAACACAGACTGCACTTAAACAGATATTGGAGTGGGGTAGTTCAATTAAGCTTAAATTCAACCCGAATAAAACGCAAATGATCGCGTTCACCAATAAAGCTAAAAAATGCAAAATAACAATGGGAAACCAATACATAAATTGTTCACGACAGATTAAATACTTAGGAGTTATCATCGATCAGAAATTAAATTTTATAAAACATGCAGAGTACATAATAAACAAATCCCTTAATCTACTACATAAACTAGTAAAGTATATAAAACCGACCTGGGGAATTAATCCAGAAAATGTCCGTACCATCTACTCAAATGTAATAGAACCTATATTGTGTTATGGTGCAAGTGTTTGGAACCCAGCCCTTAAATATAAATATGTCAATAAACGCCTTCTTTCCTTACAACGAACAATAGCCATAAAAATCATAAGAGGTTTCCGTACAATCAGTACGGCAACTGCAATCAGCTTAGCACAACTACACCCCCCTTCCAGACAAAATTAATACAGTAGCAGATCTAGAAAAAACTAAGCAACAACGTACATCAAAATACTTACCTACAGACATAGAGCTTGAATCACCTTCCAAACCTATGGAGCTACTTCATCCTTCAAAACGGAAAACGATAGAATTTACTGAAGCAATATGTCAGCAAGAAGTAGAGCTACATCAAACATCGTCTTCAACCTGTATCTTCACAGATGGAAGCAAAAATGAAAATGGAGTAGGGGCAGCTTATGTTGTGTTATCTCATGAAGGTCAAAAATTAATAAGGAAATACAAGTTACATAACACGTGCTCAATTTTTCAAGCTGAAAAATATGCTATTCAAAAAGCAATACACTGGATACTCAGCAGTAAACTACATAAATTCACAATTTTTTCCGACAGTAAATCAAGCTTACAAGAAATCCAAAACCCAGAGAGTACAAACCCATTAACCGTAGAAATTCACCGTAATATAATCAAAGCTCAAGCACTAAATAAAACTATTAAGTTTGTTTGGATTAAAGCGCATAATGGAGTTCTTGGTAATGAGCTTGCAGATACAGCAGCAAAATCAGCGTCAAATCTGAACAAAACACCGGACTATTGTAATTTCCCAATTTCTTATGTAAAGCAAAAACACAAAATAGAACTCAAGACAGTAGCTGAAAATTATTATAATAATCCAAACAATTGCACATATCTTAAAACATGGTGTCCCACGTATGAAATTCTTGTCAGTGTATTAGAAAAATTCAAATTGTCTTTCAGTGTAACACAAGTTTTATCCAATCATGGCTTCCACAAAAAATACCTATACCGTTTTAAAATAACAGAAAATGACAAATGTCCTTGTGATAGTAATACACAACAAACGGTTGATCATTTAATAAAAGAATGTCCAAAATTTAGTCAAACCCGAATTGATCATGAGATCCACTGCAGCAATCTTAATATAAGCCCATACAAACTAATTGAAGTTATACAAAAGGAATCTTGCATAGAAAGTTTTACAAGACACGTAGAAAAAATTGTAAAGTCACTTAAAAAATTTAATAAAGGCTAATAAAAAAAAATATTATATAACATAAAGTAAACAAAATAAGAAAAGCACAAACTAATAAACACAAAATAAAACACAAAATCACTCTGTATAGCTGCAAATTGTAACCCGAAAGCATATTGCACTAATACGCTGAGAGACCTCAATTTGATTAATAAAAAAAAAAAAACCTAACCTAACCTAACCTAACCTAACCTAACCTAACCTAACCTAACCTAACCTAACCTAACCTAACCTAACCCAGTATTCCGCCGTCTTCCGTGTCGTACGCATCGTTTCCGTGTTGCTCCGCGTTTGAAAAATCCGAAAAATAGGTCAAAGTTGTCCGATTTCTGTGAAACAAGTGTTGTCTCGTGTATCTCCGTGTGTTCTATGCACGAGTGATTGTTCCATTAGTGGGAGGTTAAGTGTCACAAGGATATTTCAGCAAAACACAGCGGAAAAACTGCAAAACAGGTAAAATTTCACTAAAAATTTTACACTAAATTGCGTACGCCGCTCATTTTAGATCGAAGACCTGCTGATTTTTATATCTCATTTTGTGGCATTCATATAGCTCTATCACTTGGCACAAGTTCTGGATTTTTTCGCTAATTAAATTTGGAGTAATTAGGCGAAAACTGAAAAACCACGTGGCGTGTAAAATTAAAACCGCTATCGTGCGGTTGAATTTGAACACACATTATTATAGTACACTGATAAATCAATAATCCTGTACTTGTGGCACAGAAATCGGCATCGTATTCCAGAAGATATAGCCAAAAATGCAAAATTATTAAAACTGGCTCATTTTCACTCGTTAATTGCGCGTGATTCTTAGCGACGACATATTATTTTTAATTTATAATATAGTTGCAAAACTTATCCTTAAACTATTTGCAAAGTTCTGGATTTTTCGAACTTAAACTTTCCGAGTTATTTCAATTTTCCTGAAAACACTCTAACACGTGGTCTGTGTTTTAACAGTCTGGCGATATTTTTATCGCAAGGAAATCGTAGAGCACTAAAAACCGAAAAAGAATCCGTTTTCAGAACGGTTGTATCACTTTTCGTTAGAGAGATATAAAGTTTTCAGTGTTTTTTCAGGAAATTTCAGTATCTGTTCCCTTTTCGCTAATTTACATATCACAGTTGGCTTGCCCGTGTAATTCCACAAAATTAAAGCCCAAACACGACCATCATAGCACTTCCCGTTGCTGAGATATAAAGATTTATCGTTTTTCCACCATTTTGTCCGCCATATTGAAAATCTTGTTTGGCTCATATCTCGGAAACGGTTCATCGCAGAAGCGTGGGGTTTCCAATAGTCATCTTTAAATTGTCTTTAGAATAATTTAAGACCAAAAAGAACAATCGCCAAAAATCGCACAAACTGGCGATATATTCAAATACTTAGTGCAAAGACAATTTTAACAAGCCCAAACACGAATAATTTACCTCTGGTGGACAGGGCCATCTTGGACCGCCATCTTGAAAATTTATATTTGCTATAACTCCCGAACCAGTGGTCGGATTTGAACGCGGTTTTCAACATTATTAAAGTTAAATAGCTCCCTAAAATCCTAAGTTACCACCGAAATCACCCGAACTGGTCAAGTCATCCGCCATCTTGAATATCTTTAAAGGCGTGTAACTCCATTTTTAATAGTCCGATTTTAACGCGGTTTTCGGTTACCTCAAGTGCATTTAGAACTCTATAACTTGAGGTTGTTTAGAAATGGCGGACAAACCAAAGAAAACAGCAACTGGCAGTACAGATAAACCACCTTCAATCAAAAGGAAAACTGTGACAAAAGCCATAAAGGGCTCCGGCCAAGTTCATACCGATATAGACACAAAGACAGCAGAGTTACCAACTCAGGAAACACAGGGTGAAAAGGTTTTGAACCTCTTGGAAATAGAGGAAGCCGAAAAACTGCACCACCAGACAGGGTGGAGTGCAGAAAAGGATGAACAGGGACCGCAGACCTCAGACTTGCTTCACTCTTCACCAAATCTCGACGAGGCAACATCATCATCTCCTGTGTTATCAAGGACTGGTGCAAGCCTCTTACGAATACGCACACAGATTAAACAGGCGAGGGCTGCAGAAGCCAAAGAAGCCCTAAAAACGTTGTCGGAGACTGAAGACACCGCAGAGTCGGATATTGACAGTGGAGACACTAACACGTCCCTCAATACTTCCACGAGGTCAATTGGAGGAAACCGGATGCTCCTTAATGATTTGCCCAGACATGCCAATGAAGTGCTGCAAAGAACGAAGGCAGAGCTGGAAAAATCTGGAAATCTAAAGAGGGAAATCCGGGAAAGTGTCGTCTCGGGGATGTATACATTATATGAAATGGTCCTCAAATTGTCTGATTCGAGAATTTTACACATTCTTGAATCCAGCAAACAAAAACTAAATGTCTCACGTGAATCAGAAAGGCTCACACAAAGGCATGCAAGGTTCATGCACGAGACTTTAGGACAATATGCTAACTTAAAAGAGAACGTAGAAAAGCTTTTGAAAGAAACAGAATCTACCCGATCAATTGTCTCGTATGACCTTTGTGAGGCGGTAACGGCAACAAAGAAAGAAATCGTCAATGTACGTAAAGAAATCACCCTAGGTTCATCCATCTCGAGTCAGATGCAATTCTTGATGGAGGAACTAAAGCAACTTCGGGCGAACACCGACACCCTTAAGAACCCTACTCGTCAAGAAATTGACTTATCTCGCTTCGCCGAAGAGCTGCAGGAACTCCGTCAGGCGGTTAGAGAACTCACCAAAGATAGGGTAATCCCGCAGACACAAAGTAGTGAACACAGCCCAGAGATACCAAACCAAGAGATGTTATCGGAAAAACATCACAAAAAATTTATCGAGGAACTTCAGGATCATATCTCAGAAATCAAAGCACAAATAACAGCAGAGGTAGCAGAATTAAGGCACGAAATCCTGAAGATAACGAGAGATATCAAAGGAATAACTGATGCCTCATTCAATTCTCAGCTACCCTCAGTCCAGGCAAACCTGGAAGAACTGAGAAGAGAGACGAGAGAACTGCGAGACACCACGGTGGATTCAGCAGCTCCAATTAGAGTTGCAATAGAGAGCCTCAGAAAAGAGCTAAAGAACCAACCAGGTGTAAATGAAGCAGACTTCACTGGTAACAACTCTCAACTAAAAGGGGATGATATAAACGATTACGAGAAAAGAGATCAAGCAACAGTATTCAAGCATAAAAGCTTCACACGTACATTCTCAGAGGTGGTGATGAAGCCGCATTATCCGGTGATAGTGGAATCGGCTGACCCTAGGAACACTAGCGATGATATCATAAAACAGGTCAAGAGCGGGATCGACGTAGTCGGGCTTGGGATCGGCATCAGTAACATGAGAAAAGCGAAAAATCAAAAAGTTCTCATTAGCTGTGAATCTGAAGAGGACAGAAGCATCCTCCAAGAAAGATTAAAGAACAACACAGCCAAGCTGACGGTCTATAGGCCGACTATTAAGAACCCACTCCTACGCCTAATAGGTGTGGTCTTTGACCTCACCGATAAAAAGATCGAAGAAGCAATAATAAAACAAAACAGCACTCTTTTACAAGGCATCTCATCAACGCAACAATACGTCAGAGTAGTAAGAAGAATAAAGGGTAGAACTAGCTCCACAAGCAACATCATACTCGAAGTAAGCTCACAAATCTGGAGCAAATTGAGAGACAAGAAAATCAGACTCGGCTTTCAGATAGTCCCGGCAGTTGATCAGTCACCGGTTACTCAGTGCTATCGATGTCTTGGGTTTTCTCATCGAGCACGAGAGTGCCAAGCTCAAAAAACATGCTGTGGGTATTGCGCTGAGGAACATGACACCAGAGAGTGTCACAATAGAGATAAAGCGCCTAAGTGCAAAAACTGCGTAGAAAAGAATGAGTGTGACACGAAGAGTGCACACCCTGCATATAGCTCAGAATGTCTGGAATGGAGGAAATGGGATCGGATAGCAAGAGCAACGATCACGTATTGCTAAAGTCACCGACGTTTCCTCACAAAGACCTTCGAGCAGAAAGTATGGAAAAATAAAAATTGCCCAAATCAATCTCGGTAGGGGACAATTAGCCCAACAAGAATGCCTGCAGGCGGCCGAAACGCAAGGAGTGGCTATTCTCCTAATACAGGAACCCTATGTAGGAGCAAAAGCACACGTTACCAGCCGTCACGCAGTTATACAAAAATACACTACAGACACACAAAAACCGGTCAAGTCAGCTGTCATTGTCGTTGACCCGTCCATACAATATACTATAAACCCTGAAACTATTACCGAAAACATTGTCGCGTGTAATTTTAAAATTAATAACCTAGATATTAGTATTGTGAACGCTTATATGGAAGAAGGCCAAAACATCGATGAAGATTTAAGAAAGATATCAAAATCCATTGACACACTGGGAAACGACCATGTCATATTTGGAGGGGATATAAACGCAAAAAGTCCCTGGTGGGGTTGTAGCGTGGAAGATGGACGGGGAACAGCCGTTGCTGAGACCTTAGCCCAACTGGGGTTAAACATACTTAACACAGGAAGTACACCAACATTTTGGGCACACAGAGGAGATAAAGACTACACAAGTATTGTGGACATAACCGCATGCTCTAACAACATATACCACAAAATATTAAACTGGAGGGTTAATCCTGACTTTGTCACTCTGTCGGATCACAGAGCGATTATGTTTGATGTAGAACCTGGGAATTCAATAAGGCAACCTAACCAGCGGAAATCTACCCGCATCTATAATACCAGCAAAGCGGATTGGAACAGATTCACCGCCACATTACAAACAGAACTACAGTCAATTAATATCACTGAAGAAGCAACCATGAACATAGCAACAACATGGGCCTTAGAAGACTTGATCATGCAGTACGTTGAATGCCTACGAAAATCTTGTGATATAACAATCCCAAAGTTATCTCAAAGAATACCCTCAAAGACACCATGGTGGACAAAGGAATTAAACGAAAAGAAAAAAGAACTCATACGAAAAAGAAGAAAAATTAAATTTGCTAACAAAAACAGGAAACAGACAGTAATTGAGGAATATCTTATAACCAAAGCGGAATACAAAAATCATCTAGAAGAAGCTATAACATCGAGCTGGAAAGAATTCTGTACTAGGCAGGACCGGGAGAATATGTGGCAAAGTATCTACAGGGTGATACGTAAATCTCACAAAACTCCTGAAGACACATTATTACGGGAAACAGCAACTAGTGAGATAACGACCCCAAAACAATCTGCACAGCTCTTATCAAATATTTTCTACCCTAACGATGACATACAATCAGACGAACAAATACACACAGAAATAAGAAACAAGTCAGAAAATAATAGGAAAGAGTGGGCCAATAACCAGAATAAAGATGTAATAATCCCATTCACCAACACTGAAATTGAAGAAATATTTAAAAGCATGAGCCCTAAAAAATCGCCTGGAGAAGACGGCCTTACATCTGACATATGCTTCAGAGCCTATGAGGCGGCTCCACAAATCCTACTAGCCATATACACTAAATGCCTTCTACTTGGGCATTTTCCTAAAGTTTGGAAAAGAGCGATAATTCGAGTGATTCCAAAGCCAAACAAGGAAAACTATACCCTCCCAAAGTCTTATAGACCAATTGGCCTTCTACCTGTCCTTGGGAAAGTACTAGAGAAGCTATTTGTTAATAGAATGATGTGGCAATTATGGTCCGAAAACAAAATGAGCGGGCGGCAGTATGGTTTTGTCGCCCAGCGCGGTACAGAAGACGCCCTGTATGATGCCCTGGAAATTGTAAAACAAGGCTTAAAACGAAAGGAAATTGTGGTCGTCATCTCCATTGATATTGAGGGCGCATTTGACAATGCCTGGTGGCCCGGAATGATAAACGAGCTAGAAAATAAGAAAGTAGATAAATCAATATGCAGGTTAATAAGCAGTTATCTACAGGACAGGCAAATAAAACTCACTTATGCTGGTCATGAGGTGATAAAGGAAACTAACAAAGGCTGCATACAGGGATCTACCTGCGGACCCCTGCTATGGAACTTGCAGCTCGACCCATTACTAACAGAAGTTGAAGGTCTAGGAACATACATTCAAGCATACGCAGACGATATAACGATAATAGCTAAAGGAAAATCAGCAAAAGATCTAGAAAATGAGCTAAACCCGGTATTAAACCACATCATAAAATGGGCAAAAAAAAGAAAAATGAAACTGGCACCCCAGAAAACTCAAGCTATACTGATAACAAAAAAAAACGAAATTCGAAAATCCAAAGATAGTACTGGGAGGAACGGAAATAATTATCTCTGACACGATAACAATACTTGGACTCACAATTGACGCCAACCTAAATTTCCTTAAACATGTAGACAGGGTAACTGAAAAAGCAATCCAACTTTATAAAAAAGTGGCAAAAACAGCAAGAACAAACTGGGGCCTGAATCCTGAAATTCTTAGGACAATCTACATAACTGTAGTAGAACCAACCGTATTGTATGCTGCAAGTGTATGGGGACATGTGGCAAATAAGAAACAAATAAAAACCAGGCTTGACAGGATAACGAGAACTTTCAGTATACTGATATGTAAAGCACACCGCACTTCTTCTTTAATTTCATGCGCCACTTTAGCTAGAATTCTTCCCCTAGACCTAAGAGCACAAGAAAACGCCGACCTATTTAGAATTAAAAGGGGGAAACCACTGGAACAATTACCAGGCAGGGAACTAGCAAAAGCTGTAAGTCCGTACTCGCTACCTCATCCAGCCAAACGCGTGAACCAACCTTATAACTTAATAACTGCAGAGGAAGATCTTGACTCTATCGGAAATGACTGGCCCTGCATATATACTGACGGGAGCAAGATTACAGGCAAAGTGGGAGCAGCTATCACCTGCTGGAAAGACGGGAAAGAAATATATAAATCCAGATTACGTCTTGGCGATCATTGTAGTGTATATCAAGCAGAATTAGCAGCTATACTAAAAGCCACAGAAGTAATCCTAAGCAAGAAAACACTAAAAATGGCAAACATCCTCAGTGATTCTAAATCGGCGCTGGAAAGTCTCACTAACCCCAATGCACTACACCCCCTCGCAGCAAAAATTCTGGAACGTATGCGAGAAATAGAAAGCAATCAAGGCAAAGTTAGACTCTTTTGGATCAAAGCCCACTGCGGCATTCCAGGTAATGAGAGGGCAGATGAGCTCGCAAAGTCCGCCGCGGAGACACTGAAGCAGACTCCAGTGTACGACTGTTTTCCTCTCTCTTTCGCAAAGCGCTCCATCAGGGACAAATCTTTGCTAATTTGGCAAGAAAGATATACAACAGCACTAACGGGACAAGTGACAAAGAAGTTCTTCACAACTGTTAAGCAAGCTTACAAAACCATGAAGAATATCAAGATTAATAATATGAGATGTCAAATTTTTACTGGACATGGAGGTTTTAAGGCGTATCTATGTAAATTTAAACTGACGCAGAGCCCATGCTGTGACTGTGACCAGTCAACACCACAAACAATTGAACATGTGCTAATAGATTGTCCCAAATATGCAGTACAAAGAATAAGCTGCGAACACCGCATGGGCTTTGCACTAAATGAAACTACACTTTGTAAGGCTATCAACGACAATGACAGCTACATGCATTTCCTTGATTTTGCTGAAAATTGTTTGAAAAAAGGTACTCAAGGAAAATGGATCTAAAGTATACTAACATATACTTATATAAAAAATATAAAAATATATATATATATATAATATATATATATATATATATATATATATGTATATATGTATATATATATATATATATATATTTTATATTATATTTATATTCCGTAGAAACATTTAAATAGATAATTCGTAGTAGTAAGTAGCTGTAGAAACAATAAGTACTAGTATTGTATAAGTAGTTATGGTAATACTAGTAGTGTAGTAAAACTGTAGATTAATATGTTCTTCTTAAGTTTACGTTTTTAAGCTTTATAACTTTTTGATTACTTGCAGAAGAACAGTCATGTAAAATTCTAAAGTGCATGTAAGATAAAATACGGTAGAATATTGTTAATAAAAAAAAAAAAAAAAAAAAAAAAAAAAAAAAAAATTGTGTAGTACACAATCCGCGTATAATATTGATTAATATATTACATAGAAACATTCAAATAGATAAAACCATAGTATTAAGTAGTTTTAAAAACAAAAAGCATTAATAGTGTATTAGCAGTTACAATAATAGTGTAGTCAAACTGTAGAGTATCATGCGCTTCTAAAGTTTTTGTTTAAAGCCTCATAAGTTTGTAAGTACTTGCAGACGAACAGTTATGTAAAGCTCTAAATATCATGCAAGATAAAATACGGTGGAATACTGTTAATATAAAAAAAAAAAAAAAAAAAAAAAAAAAAAAAAACCTAGTAAAAGAAAATAGATAAAAAAAAGAAATAAAACAAAGGTGCTGTAAAAGAAATAACAGCAGATGAACTGAGTTAAAAAAAAAAACCTAACCTAACCTAACCTAACCTAAACTAACCTAACCTAACCTAACCTAACCTAACCTAACCTAACCTAACCTAACCTAACCTAACCTAACTCAACCTGACCCCAACCTAACCTAACCTAACCTAACCTAACCTAACCTAACCTAACCTAACCTAACCTAACCTAACCTAACCTAACCTAACCTAACCTAACCTAACCTAACCTAACCTAACCTAACCTAACCTAACCTAACCTAACCTAACCTAACCTAACCTAACCTAACCTATCCAACCTAACCTAACCTAACCTAACCTAACCTAACCTAACCTAACCTAACCTAACCTAACCTAACCTAACCTAACCTAACCTAACCTAACCTAACCTAACCCAACCTAACCTAACCTAACCTAACCTAACCTAACCTAACCTAACCTAACCTAACCCTAACCTAACCTAACCTAACCCAACCTAACCTAACCTAACCTAACCTAACTAACCATAAATTTGTAGATAACTTTCCTGAAAGTCGGTATTTTTCGTTCAAATTTTCTTTAAATAGTGTAGTTGATTGCCTCCCATATTTATAAATAGTTTTCTTACAAAATTTTAGCCGTTATATAATTAAATTTCGTATTTTTGTTCCCTTATTACAGTAAATTCATAGAATAAAACATAAATTCACCTATAACTTTGCTGAAAATTGACTTTTTCCGATTAAATTTTGTTTTTAAATAGTGTAATTCATTGCCCCCCGTGTTTACATATAGTTTTATCCACAAATTTTCACAGTTAAATAGTAGATTTTCATGTTTTTCCGTTTCTTATAGTCGTAAAATCGTAAAATATTTAAACTTTTTCAACTTTTTCAAATTTTCATTTCCTTCGTTCTTTTCGCTCCTGTTAGGTCCGTCTTGTGTAGAAACCACCATCTGCACACTAATTTGCCTCATAAAACACACAGAATCAGAAAAAATCGCTACTTACCTAAACCGAGGTATAGTGGTCGATCCCTACATTTGTATAAATTTAACCATAAATTTGTAGATAACTTTCCTGAAAGTCGGTATTTTTCGTTCAAATTTTCTTTAAATAGTGTAGTTGATTGCCTCCCATATTTATAAATAGTTTTCTTACAAAATTTTAGCCGTTATATAATTAAATTTCGTATTTTTGTTCCCTTATTACAGTAAATTCATAGAATAAAACATAAATTCACCTATAACTTTGCTGAAAATTGGCTTATTCCGATTAAATTTTGTTTTTAAATAGTGTAATTCATTGCACCCCGTGTTTACATATAGTTTTATCCACAAATTTTCACAGTTAAATAGTAGATTTTCATGTTTTTCCGTTTCTTATAGTCGTAAAATCGTAAAATATTTCAACTTTTTCAAATTTTCATTTCCTTCGTTCTTTTCGCTCCTGTTAGGTCCGTCTTGTGTAGAAACCACCATCTGCACACTAATTTGCCTCATAAAACACACAGAATCAGAAAAAATCGCTACTTACCTAAACCGAGGTATAGTGGTCGATCCCTACATTTGTATAAATTTAACCATAAATTTGTAGATAACTTTCCTGAAAGTCGGTATTTTTCGTTCAAATTTTTTTTAAATAGTGTAGTTGATTGCCTCCCATATTTATTAATAGTTTTCTTACTAAATTTTAGCCGTTATATAATTAAATTTCGTATTTTTGTTCCCTTATTACAGTAAATTCATAGAATAAAACATAAATTCACCTATAACTTTGCTGAAAATTGGCTTATTCCGATTAAATTTTGTTTTTAAATAGTGTAATTCATTGCCCCCCGTGTTTACATATAGTTTTATTCACAAATTTTCACAGTTAAATAGTAGATTTTCATGTTTTTCCGTTTCTTATAGTCGTAAAATCGTAAAATTTTTAAACTTTTTCAACTTTTTCAAATTTTCATTTCCTTCGTTCTTTTCGCTCCTGTTAGGTCCGTCTTGTGTAGAAACCACCATCTGCACACTAATTTGCCTCATAAAACAGACAGAATCAGAAAAAAACGCTACTTACCTAAACCGAGGTATAGTGGTCGATCCTTACAATTGTATAAATTTAACTATAAATTTGTAGATAACTTTCCTGAAAGTTGGTATTTTTCGTTCAAATTTTTTCTAAATAGTGTAGTTGATTGCCTCCCATATTTATAAATAGTTTTCTTACAAAATTTTAGCCGTTATATAATTAAATTTCGTATTTTTGTTCCCTTATTACAGTAAATTCATAGAATAAAACATAAATTCACCTATAACTTTGCTGAAAATTGGCTTATTCCGATTAAATTTTGTTTTTAAATAGTGTAATTCATTGCCCCCCGTGTTTACATATAGTTTTATCCACAAATTTTCACAGTTAAATAGTAGATTTTCATGTTTTTCCGTTTCTTATAGTCGTAAAATCGTAAAATATTTAAACTTTTTCAACTTTTTCAAATTTTCATTTCCTTCGATCTTTTCGCTCCTGTTAGGTCCGTCTTGTGTAGAAACCACCATCTGCACACCAATTTGCCTCATAAAACACACAGAATCAGAAAAAATCGCCCCCCCCCCCCGCCCTCCCTGTTTGTCTTACTTAAATGTAGTACTTCTAGGAATTCTATATCGATTTTTATTTATATCGATTTTTATTTATATCGATTTTTTTTATATATATATATTAATTTTATTATTTCTTGAACCTGTGAGTAAAAACACCTAGTTTAGACAAAAATTGATTTTCGAACCACCCAGTTTTGACTACCTTTCTTTCCTTTTGTATTATATATAATTTGCAAAAATTTATAGTAATGGCTCCTGGTATTAGCGATTCGCCGATGCTGCCCGCGACGGCGGAAGAAATCACTAATGTTTCTATGTATACGGAAGTTGTTAATAAATTGAATTGCATGCATTGTGAATGCGGTAAATGATGGCAAGAGTGTAACAGCAGCAAACAAGCGCCTCATTACAATTGCTTCCGAAGAAATAAGGAGAGCCAATTTGGTACTTACTAATATTACATCCACGTTGTCTAGTCCCGCTGAGGACCTCAAAAATGATATTATCACTTGTGTGCGTGAAGAAATTACTCATCTTAAGAAATCAATTAGCAGCCTTTCTCTAGGGCGATCCTCTTATGCTCAAGTTGTTTCTTCAAGCGCTAATCAATCACTCACGATAAACAACCACGTTACTCCCTCCCCGCAACCAAACCAGCGTTAATCGTCACTCCAAAAACAGAAGTTAAAAATAAGCAGGAAGTTATCGACGTTTGGCGCAAAAGTATAAGCTTCCGTGCCACCAGATATGCACCTGCTCGCGTTCAAACAGTGTCACACAATAAATTAAGGGTCGAGTTCGATAACGAACAGCAGCGTGACGAAACTCTAACACGTTTATTGAACTCAAAGGTAGTTACAGCTGAACCTGCACGAAAACTTAGACCCATGATAATCCTCAAGGGAATTTCTGTTGACACTCCAACCGAAGAATTAGTGGATATTATTAAAATGCAAAATGCTGAACTATCTGATACCATTACAGAACAGGATGACTTAAAATTTTGCTTCAAACGCAGTAACAGAAACCCTCACCTATACAATGCAGTTTTTCGGGCTCAACCCACAGTTTGGAGAAAAATCATCAGCATGTGTAAATTATCCATCGATCATCAGCGTATACACGTTGAGGAATTTTCACCATTTATGCAATGTCATAAATGTTACCAGTTTGGACACACAAAGAACAAATGTACTTCGGAAAACACTGCATGCGGTCATTGTGCCGCAACCACACATAATTCTGAAAACTGTCCTAAAAGAGACAATCCGGACTGCGCTCAGTGTATCAACTGTGTCGCACATAACACCAAATTTAGCACAAAACTTGATACCAAACATAAGGCTACATCCACTTATTGCCCCAGACTGCGAGCCATGAAAGAAAGAATCATAAACCGAATTGACTATGGATCAAGTAAATAAACTCAAAGTACTACAGTGTAACTTAGATAAATCCAAGAAAAGTCAACATGAATTTGTTCTTTCTTTTATAGCCGGCCATTTCCAAATTGCACTGGTGTCAGAGCCCTATGTGGGATCTGGCAATATTGTTAAACCCATCCCTGGTATCAACATATTTCAGTTCCCCAATGGTAACAGGGTCAAAGCGTGCATAATGACAAAATCTAGCTGTGATTCCGTAATAGGTCTATCCCAATTTTCATCGGCTAATTTCAGCGCAGTTCTATTGAATATTGAGGGCAGTAAACTGTACATAGCATCCGTCTATATCGAGCCTAATAGTGATGAAAACAATACATTGCAAAGGGTAGAAAACTTTTTAAAAATGACCAGTAACTGCCATCAGTTGATTGGCGGTGATTTTAACGGTTGGCACCCTATCTGGGGTAGCGACCGAGCAAATTCGCGGGGGAAACGAAGTTGTTGACATTGCCTATGGCAATGACATGTTTTTCTGTAATATAGGCCATACTCCTACTTTTGAGACAGTTTCATATGGACAAGTGCGTAGTTCTTATATTGATCTTACCCTTGCCTCTAGCTCTATTTATGACCGGATTGGGGACTGGAAAGTTGATCCTTTAATCTGTCCATCTTCTGAACACAGGGCAGTAATATTTTCAGTCGCAACTCGTGGTGAAAGAAGAAAAACCAACAAAACAACCAGTACGTTTAGATACAATACGAATAACATAAAATGGGAGGAACTAAGACCTTTCTTTGAAACTAAAATTATGGAATATGTACCCCAAAATGTTACAGTTGAACAGATGCAGGCAAATGAACTGGAAGATTACATAATTTCAGTTACATCGGCAATTCAAAGAACATGTGATGAGCTGCTCCCAAGGTCAACTGGTCGAAAATACCGCTGCCCTTGGTGGACAGACGAACTTGAAAGTCTCAAAAAACAAGTAATACGCAACCATCATAACATACAAAAACTTCGCCGACAAAATAAACCACTTAAGGACGCCCTTTTGGAAAAAGAACGCTTAAAAACTGCTTATTCAAAAACCTTTAGAGAAACTTCCACGCGAAATTTCAGAGACTTTTGTGAAAAGCAAGGGAAGGAGGATGTGTGGTCCGTTACAAATAGAATAATCAAATCAAACCCACCTCCGCTGCCACCAGCCACACTAAAGAAATGCGATGGTACATACACCAACTCTAGCCTCGAAACCGCCCAAGCTCTTCTTAATAAGTTTTTTCCCGATGATGACATAAATGATACACCACTTCAAGAAGAAGCTCGGAAAATTGCAATTACCGTACCTAATACTCAAGATGAACCCCCTTTTACCTATGAAGAAATTCGCAGTAGCTTAAATAGTATTAATCCGAAAAAAGCACCCGGCACTGACCATCTTACTTCTGACATTTGCTTATTATTTGCCGAAAGCTTTCCAAATCTTATTACTTCAGTCATTAACCGATGTTTTAAACTGGGATATTTTCCAAATATCTGGAAGATAGCTTTTATCAAAATCCTCCCTAAGCCCCACAAGAACGATTATTTAAATATTTCTTCTTTCCGCCCCATAGGTCTAATTAATGTATTTGGAAAACTGTTTGAAAAACTAGTTATACGTAGGTTAACATATTTCATGCACCAAAAAGATCTTTTTAACTCAGCACAGTACGGTTTTAAAGAACAAACATCTACCATCAATGCATTAACCAACATAATAAATATTACCAACCAGGCCATAGCCAATAAAGAGCAAGTGCTTGCAGTTTCTTTAGACATACAAGCTGCATTTGACTGTGCTTGGTGGCCGGCAATATACCGCAGACTACATAAAATTGGATGCCCCCGTAACATCTACTCTATTTTGTGTAGTTATTTCCAAAATCGATCTGCAATTATACATTTCGGAGACAGCACAGCTATAAAAACTCTGACGAGAGGTTGCGTCCAGGGTTCGGTTTGTGGCCCTTTCCTATGGAATTTAATTGTGGACGAACTTCTCGATATGGATATGCCACCTGGAGCTACAATACAAGCATTTGCGGATGACATATTTCTTCTTGTGCGCGCCAAAGATAGTAATAATTTACAGCTTAACGCAAATAATGCTTTGAGTATAATCACTAAATGGGGTCTGGAAATGAAACTTACTTTTGGAGTTGCCAAAACACAGGCCATCGCATTTACTTGCAAGGCAGCGAGGTGCAAGCTCTATATGTCTGGTCATATCCTGAATTTTTCTAACGAGATTAAGCTTTTAGGCGTTTTAATAGACAAAAAGCTCAAATTCATAAAACATGTAGATTTCATCGTCAACAAAGTCCGTAAATTGTACACTAGGTTAATAACGTTCGTCAAACCAACTTGGGGCATTCACTCCGAGAATATAGAAATTATCTATAAACATGTGATTGAGCCAATAGTCTGTTATGCTTCTTCTATCTGGCAATCAGCAATCGGGTACAAATGTGTGACAGAGAAACTACTCTCTTTGCAACGCAATTTTGCCCTTAGAATTATCCGTGGCTTTAGAACCGTGAGTACAGTCGCTTGCATATCAATCGCTCAACTATGCCCACTCCCAATAAAAATAAAGGAAATAGCAGATAATGAGCGCACAAGAATCACACAAGTTTCACAGTACCTACCTTCTGATGTTACTCTAGACGTCCCTGCTAAACCAGGAAATTTATTACATCCCTCTTTGCGAAAACCTATTAAATTTACTGAAGAACAAATACCGACAGAAAATATTATAAATTCTTATCGTATTTACACCGATGGTAGCAAGCACAGCAATAAAGTGGGCGCTGCATTTGTGATACACAAACCGAACGGAGAAAAACTAATACGCAAATACAAATTACATGACTCGTGTTCAGTCTTTCAAGCCGAACTCCTGGCCATTTCTAAAGCCTGCGAATGGATTATAGAACACAAAATCAATCCAACATATATTTTCTCAGACAGCAAATCAGGTCTCCAAGAAATTGCAAACGAAAACAGTTACAACTCCCTCGTAGTATCGATTCATAGGATAATACAACGAATTGAATCACTCAATTTAAAAGTCAGTCTTTGCTGGATTAAAGGTCACATCGGAATCTCAGGCAATGAAGAAGCGGATGCAGCTGCCAAAAGCGCGGCAACCTCCCACCGATCTTATGAATTTCTCAAATTCCCAATAAGCCATGTAAAATATTTAAATCGACAACAAGCCATTAAAGGAACAGAAAACTTTTACTTTGAAAGTGACAAAGGCATATATATCAAATCTCTATGTCCTACTTATGAGCAACTCACCCTAACTGTTAAAGCACTGGCACCTAATTTTGCTATAACTCAGTATCTTAGCAATCATGGATATCACAAGGAATATCTTCATCGTTTTAAAATAACCAATGATAATAAATGCCCATGCGATCAAACTAGTGTACAATCCATGACACATCTTATAAGAAACTGCCCTGCATTTCTTAGAACAAGAATGGAACATGAAATTGCGTGCACTATGTTAAAGATAGAACCATATAATTTATCAGAAATAATTTCCAAAGAAACTACTATACAAACTTTTAAAACCCACGTCAATTACATTATAAGTCAACTAAAAAACTTCAACAACAATACAGCAGTAGTAAATTAAAATAATTGAACATTATATGCCTCATAAGTAAATTCAAGAAAAACTGGAATAAAAGTATAATAATAAGATACCCTATGTAAATAGTAATTTTAATTTTACTAATTCTATTAAGGTAGTCTATAAATATTAAATATTTATTAATTATAAATATTTATATATAATTATGTATGAATATGTATATTTATGTTTAGTATTAAACAAATTAATGTTCCAATTGTCTTGCATAAAACATAAATCAAATTCCTATCGTAAAATATTTTAGGTAACATTATTAAAATATATTATGAAAACCATTGATGAAAGTTATCAAAAGTAAATATTAACAGAAATCAAAGCAAAATGTGGAGCAAATAGAACCCATCATTTTAAACAAAAATTTCGCAACCATAAGGAATTGTATACCGATAGCAATTCCTCATGGAAAAGAAGAAGGAGGGAAAAAAAAAAAAAAAAAAAAACCTAACCTAACCTAACCTAACCTAACCTAACCTAACCTAACCTAACCTAACCTAACCTAACCTAACCTAACCTAACCTAACCTAACCTAACCTAACCTAACCTAACCTAACCTAACCTAACCTAACCTAACCCAGTCCGGTGCCAACTGCCGTCCCGAACGCCACGTTTCAGAGTTGCTCCGCACCTATAAATTCGTTTAAATAGGTTTTTTACGTCCGATTTTCGCGTGCTATACACCAAAAGACGCGGCTTAACTTGCGGCTTATAGTCGTGCAATTTGTTTTTAAATCGGAGTAAAAGTGAAAAAGTGACAGTGAAAAAAGTGAAATTTGAAAAATTTCAAATTTTAAAAGTGAAACGCTGGGTGTTTAAGTGCTGTAACCCTACTTTTTTAAAGTGTGGCCTTGAACCCAGACACGGCCTCTACATGTGTTAAAAATTTGGATATTTTCTGAGCCATAGTCTCGGAGAAAAAGGCAAAAAAACAAGTACCACGTGGGCACGTGTTTCGAGAAGGAGAATCGTGCGACTACTTTTGAAGTCGCATTCTGGTAGCCAGCGTGGAGGGGAGCCGGGAGCAACTTTCGGAATTTCAATAAGTTAAGTGGCTGCATAATAATTGAACTTTTAAATTTTGTGAAATTTTCAAAATTTTATATCTTAAAATCTAAAGCGAAGACCCCTAGATTTTATACTTAAATAGTGTTTAGGTTAATATAAGAAAGCTACATAAAATTTTTCAGATTTTTAATGTAAGTAGTTTTTTAATTAGGATTTTTTAAATTAATTTGTTGACCACGTGCTACCTTATTATAACGTGTTTCTAGGTATAAATATATATATATAAATTGAGGATACCTCTTGTATTATACATAAATTTTTGTAAAATTTTTAAATAAAAATTGGCCATTAAAATCAAAATTTTGTAAAAAATTTAATAATTTTTGTTAAAAATTAATTCAAAGGGGGCTTAAAACGGCAAAATACTTATTTAGCTGTCACCCTGACACCGAGACCTTTTAATTAAGCCCAAACACGGCCCAAATCGGTTGAAAGCCGCCTGAAATAACGTATAGTGGTCTGAATTGGCGGCCATTTTGAAAAAATTAAAATCGATATAACTAACGATCTAGGAGTCGTAGCGAGTTGCGGTTTTCTTAGTGGAGCTTAGGGTGACGATCCACATCCGCCTCACTACTTTTCAAGCGTTTTGGTGCCAAAGGGTTTCAGATCCTGAAGGGCAGTTGAAACGATAGAGCGAGTCAGGACAAGCCTATTGGGCCCAAACACGGGCTTTCTACGACCACTGGAAGGAAAATTGTCCGGGGTCGAAGATTGATTCTGACAGTTCTTGAACTGTCAAACCAAACTTCAGACGCCGATAATATCCGAACCGAAGGTCGTGGAAGGCTCTAGTTTTCTCTGGGGACAAAGGCAGCACCTCTTCTACTCCGCTAGTTACCCTTCAGGAGTTTTCAGGAACTGAAAAATTTTCAGTGTAAAACTTCATCAAGTTATAGAGCTCGTCGAGCCCAGTCGGAAGACCCCAAGCACGACAGGTTTTGGACGGGTGGTCGCGGAGAAACCGCTTGTAACCGGATTCTGGTGGCCATCTTGGATCGGCGACCAGAAATTCGGACTGCGGTTCCTGCGGAACCCCTTAGACTGGGACAGTCGTGTTTGGGTTCAAACGAGAGGGCTCGAAAAGAACTATCCTTGTAATCACTTAGATCGACTCTAGGTAGAGTCAAAAAATTTTTTCTAAAATTTTTTTTATTTTTATTTTATATTTTTGGACTTTTAAATTTTGACGGGAATCGGGTCCTGAAGGCTTATAAGCCCTAGCTCAAGCCTCTTTACATCAGTAAAGGCTAAAAATAACTTAAAAGAGCTGGACTCTCCCTCATTAAAATAAGATTTTTAGTAGCTAGTTTTATTAACTATATATATATATAGGATAGGTTAGTTTTTATTTTATACTTGACACAGACCCCCCTTTACAGGGTCTAACAAACATTTTACAAAGGGACAACTTTCCCCGATCCACCTACAATAATCAACACTACACACCGCACTCATACACACTCACATAATTAACATGTACCGCACACCCGTGACCTCTGGCGCTGCTAAAAAGCCCACCACTCCTAGTCCTGCTACCACAACCGCAGCAGAGCAGGACCCTGCTAGGACTTTTATCAAAAGACCAGACGCCAAAAGAAGGTCACTCGATAACATGGACCTATATAAAAAGCAGCAAAACATCTACGCTGCACTACCGAGTGAGCAGATCCTCCAGGAGATAATGAAAACCTTCGAGGACATACCCTCGAAAGTTCATGAGTACCCTCAAATGAGGAGAGACATTAAACAGTTCCTGGAGGTGCAATCAGATAAGGGCATACGAAATATCTACGAGCTCAGTAGGCGTCTGAAAAGTCTCGAAGCAGAGGTCCCAAAAACAAGGACACCAACAAAGACCTCGTGTTCCGATGGGCAGGATGTTATCCTGAAAAAACTGAGAGAGGTGGAAGAAACATTGACCGAGCGGTTGAATGATATTGAACAGAGTCTGAAAACGGACATAGTAGGGCTCCATAATGGTAACGATGACCGAGGCTCCGACGTAATCGATAAGATCATCGACAAGATCGACGAAACCAGAGCTGCTATAGACCAAACGACCGAGGAGGTTGAAGGTCGAACGCACGCTCTCCTCAAAGATCTTGTCGGTGGTATTGCCGATGATGTTGTAGCAACCAAACAGGAACTAATGGAAGTCGCAAAAGGACTGGCATGTGAACGAAATATAGCCCCAGTACCTAGATCATACGCCAGTGTCGCAGCAGCCAAACCTGTCCACCGCCCTGCACTACACTCGATGGCGGTCACCTTCGAAAGTGGTCTTGAGACTGCTGACGAGGTGCTCGCCAGGGTGAAAAGGGCGGTCGATGCTAGAGGCACTGGCCTCAAAATTAATAGAGTAAGAAAGGCCAAGAACCAAACGGTTATATTAGGCTGCGACACTGAGGAGGAAAGGAAGAAAGTACAGGAAATGATAGAGAGTCGCGGAGAGGGACTGATAGTAGCGCCCATGAAAAATAAAAACCCTCTAGTTGTCTTGAAAGACGTGTTTGTGGACAGCGAAGATGAGGAAATAATCAAGGCGCTCCACGCTCAGAACAAAGAAATCTTTGTGGGCCTACCTGAAGGGGAAACGGAAATGGTGATAAAATATAAAAAGCGTACAAGAAATCCCAGAACATTACACATCATTCTGCAGGTAAAGCCCAACGTATGGCAGAGGATGACGGAGGCTGGAGCCCTCTATCTGGACCTTCAAAGGGTCAGAGTCGAGGACCAGTCACCGCTCATCCAATGCACGAAGTGTCTTGCTTTCGGACATGGTCGGAAATTTTGCACCGAGAGTGTGGACAGATGTAGTCACTGTGGAGGACCGCATCTGCGCGAGAAATGCGCAGATTTTACAGCGGGAAATGAACCGCAGTGCTGCAACTGCTCACACTCTGGGTTGCCGAGGACCGACCATAACGCGTTCAGTGCCGACTGCCCAGTACGGAAAAAATGGGACTACTTGGCCCGTACAAACACGGCCTATGCATAACTCACAAGCAGGTTATTACACGACACGCACACATAAACACAAAAGAACACACAAACACAAACACGACACACGCAAACACGTAATACATAAAAACGATCACAACTGATATACAGAACGTATATTGAATATACACAAATATATCAGCACAAAAACACCTACACGAACCAAAAACAGTAACTCAAACAAAGGAAAAATGAAGTATAAAATGAAAACTGGCACAAGAAATAGTCAATAAATATGTATAAATTCAGTATATGTATGTTATTGGCTAGGCAAAAGTATGTTTTAGAAATACATAAGGAAATACAAAATTCGACACAACAGGACAGAATACACCAATCCTGCAAAATGCACAATTGAAAATATCTTGAAAAATTGTAAAATGCAATGTAGTAACTAAATAAATAAAAGCACTAATTGTTGTACAAAATAGATATAAGAATAGTATTAAGGAAAAG